GTGGGCCGTGTGTAAGAGGGAGACGTGATTTTTTTTTTAGATCGCTGTTGTTGTTGAGAACGCTGTTGTCCTGTGTGTGGTGGGGAGCGTGCGTGGTGCGCGTGTGTGTGTCACCCAGCGGTGTTGACGGCGTAGGTGATGGGTGTGTGTACGTGTGGTGGGTGTGTGTACATGTGGTGGGTGTGTGTACGTGTGGTGAGTGTGTGTATGTGTGGTGAGTGTGTGTACGTGTGGTGAATGTGTGTACGCGTGGTGAGTGTGTCTGCGTGTGGTGAGTGTGTGTGCACACACGCGGCTCAGGGGCACCAGGCTGAGCGCGGGGACCACCACCACAACCACGGCCACCACCGCAGCAGCACTAACCACAACCACCCACACCACCACAACAACAACAACGACCGCAGCCACCCACACCAACAACAGCCACCCAAACCACGTCGGGGCCTGCGTCGAGGCCTGCGTCGAGGCCTGCTTCGAGGCCTATTTCGAGGAGGCCTACTTCGAGGAGGCCTACTTCAAGGAGGCCTATTTCGAGGAGGCCTACTTCGAGGAGGCCTACGTGTGGGCCTACGTCGAGGCATACGTCGGGGTCTACGTCGAGGCCTACGTGGAGGCCTACGTGGAGGGCGCTCGTTAAACGGGCGAGAAGCCGTACATGTGCGACGAGTGCGGCATGACATTACTCGCGCTCGGCCTACCTGTACGTTTTCACGTGTGTGTTTAACTGTTGTGGTTCTTTGTTATTTTAAAGATGGCAGTTCTGCTGTGTATTTTACTTCTGTCCCTCCCGGCCATATCTAGTGCCAAACACAACTCCACCACTGGCAGCCCTCGTTATTTCGAGTCCATAGTTGATGCTCCATTTGCCACTACACCTGCTAGTGAAACAGCTTATAGCCACTTCTACACTCCATCATTGTATCCTTTTAAACCCTATCTCTGTCCTATTACTTCACCAGCACTCCTTCCTAACTTCATTCTGCTCTTAAAAATGTCACCATACGTAAACAGCTGCTATTCGTCCAAGGTTCGTCGCTCTCCATCCATTCACAGAAAATACTTGTGCAAACTATTAATTCTACTTTTCTTATTTCTGGGAGGTATTGAGCTTCACCCTGGTCCAAATGTAAATAACTCATTTAATTCGGTAGATTTTTCTGGCAGAAAAGGTGTTGGTGTTCTACACGTCAACATCCGAGGGCTTGTGATTAAATTAAGTCAACTAAAACTAGAAGTGGCAAATCTGGACCCGGACATTTTCTGCCTTACAGAAACATTTCTCACTCCAGCCGTCAATGACTTGCAGATTACGATTGACAACTACAACCTTTTTCGACTTGACCGAGGGCCTACAGGGGGTGGAATTGCCATATATGTTCGTAGTACTATTGCATGTTCACCAGCTCATTCCTTGTTAAAGAAATATTGCTTTGAAGGTCTGGCTCTCAGAATCACTCTCCCTAAAAATCAACAGATATTGGTAGTGTGCTGCTATAGACCGCCTAGTGGTAAGAATGTTGAAGCTGGGAACGCACTGAGGGAGCTTCTTGGGGGCCTTCCTAAAGGTGAAATCATTTTAATGGGTGATCTCAATTGGAATTGGCTAAACCCGCCGGCCGTGGCCACAAATTTTGCACATGAATTTAACCTGTTTCAATTAATAAATGTCCCCACAAGACCCAACCTAAAAAACCCGGGACAGTCATCTCTGCTTGACGTCCTATTAACAAATGCCCCTCACAATTTCACGCTGACTGGTATTATGGGTAATAACCTTAGTGATCACTCCTTCATATTTGGGGTGAGATCATCAGCCAGACCCAAAGCCCCCCCTAAATTGGTTGAGAAGCACTCCATGAGACACTTCAGCATTCAGGCATTTACTAATGATGTGCTTCACTCGGATATTGACAAGGTCTGTGATATCCCAAACCTGACTACGGCTTGGGAGACTTTGAGGTACACGTTTCTCCAAATTCTTAACAAACATGCTCCGTTGCTTAGATTTAAAACTAAAGGCAACCGTCCACCATGGTTTGATCCCTTGATTACTAAGCTCATGAAAACTAGGGACAAGGCTTGGGCATGTGCTCAGAAAAGTCATTTGGTCCATGACTGGCTAAAATACAGGATTTTAAGGAATAGATGCGTCAAAAAATATGGCATGCAAGAAATGCCTACTTTTCCTCCACTCTCCTGGAATCACATGGAAATGCCAGGATCTTCTAGAAAACAATCAAAAGTATCGAAAAGGCATCTAACACAGATAATCTGCCCGTTTAGCTTAACCGAAATGGGGAATATTTTTCAGAGCCCCAAAAAATAGTTGACAATTTTAACCTTCATTTTTCTGAAGCTGGTGACCTTTTTGATAATGTATTGGGAGTCACCCCTGCGCATGCAATTTCCTACACCCCTGTCCAAACATTAAACGAATTTAGTTTCCAGCCAATCCACGAAAGTAATGTTCTGAAACAACTGTCCTACCTCAAAGGGTCCTCCTCTACCGGAGCAGATAGTATTCCCGTCTTTGCTCTGCTAACTGTTGGTCACCTAATATACAAACCTATAGCCCAAATTTTCAACCTGTCCATCAAAGAAGCATCAATACCTCTAGAATGGAAATATTCATATGTTCGTCCACTTCACAAAGGGGGCCCTAAAGATGATCCAAATAACTACCGACCTATCTCAATTTAGTCCCCGTTGATGAAACTTTTTGAAAAATTATTGAACTACCAAATTAGCAGTTTCCTGTCCGACAACAATCTATTACATCGAAAACAATCTGGGTTCCGAAAAAAATACAGCACCACATCTGCTGCATTAGACTCTCTGAATCACATTTACAGTAGCCTTGATAATAAGCAGTACTGCGCCAGTCTTTTTCTTGACTTGTCCAAAGCCTTTGATACAGTCGACCACAACACCCTGCTTAGTAAACTAAGTTGCCTCCGTTTCTCCAAACACGCAGTAGAATGGTTAAAAAATTACCTTTCTTTTTGCACCCAAACTGTACTCACAGATGGTTGGAGGTCAAACAGTGTTAAGATAACAAAAGGGGTTCCACAGGGTTCAATCCTCGGCCCCCTCTTGTTCTCTCTTTATGTCAATGAATTGGGCACTGACCTGGATCATTCCAGGGTAAATCTTTTTTGCAGATGACACGATACTGATTACTGCTGGCCGCTCTCCGGATGACGTGATTGCTAAGCTCCAGGGTGATTTCAACAAACTACAACATCAGCTAGTTGCTCTTAAACTAGTCCTGAATACCTCCAAAACCAAGGTGCGATGCTTCTCACCAGGACTAAAGCAGGAAGCTATTTTTCCCCAATTACATTCCTTAAATAATTATCAAATAGAGCAAGTCAAGATCTATAAGTATCTTGGGGTCATTCTTGATTCAAAACTGAAATTTGAAGATCACATTGATTATATTATTAAAAAGACAAAAATAAAAATTGGTTTTCTGTATCGACACAAGCACTGCTTCCCCCCTATGTTCCATTTGGAATTGATAAAAGCTACCATACTGCCTCTACTTGATTACTGTGACATCGTGTATAAATCAGCCCCAAGTACTGTACTGAAGAAGCTTGACTCAATGTATCACTTGGCCTTAAGATTTGCATTGAACTGCCCATATAGGACTCACCACTGTGATCTCTACATTGGGTCAAACTTAACATCTCTCAATGTTCGACGGCTTGTGCATCAGATCTTATATATTCATGATGTACTTACAAAAAAATCCACAAATTACCTGCTGGATCTCCTCTCTGTTTCAAAGAACAAACTTGACTTAAGGTATTCGCTCATTTACCAGCTTCACATTCCCTATTGCCGTACAAATACTGACGGGCCTTTGCTATTGATGCCCCCAGGGTCTGGAATGTTATTGCCAATAAACTGCAACTTGAATCACTACCTATCAGATCTTCACTCAAAACTGCTCTAGAGGAGTTGTACACCCCTAGCTGCCACTGCAATTTAGTGGCCTAAAATACAATGTTTCGCTCCGGATGATCGCTGCAAAGTATCTGTGTTTTGATTTAGTGTGCTGATCTTAAAGGTGCATTGAAAAATGTTGATACTCAGACTGATGCTCCTACTGTTGTGGAGTGACTCATGCAGCTAGCTATGGCTGCAGAGTTTGGTAGTACATGTTGTTGACGTCGTTTATTGTGAAAATTCGGTCACAGTTCCTATGACCACTGTTTCATTGCTTTTATGGCTTTATTTTGGCGATTTTCGATAAGTTTTTTGGTTTGGCCTTATTTGTTTGTTGTAGTACAGAGTTAGAATGATGGCATTAATCTAAGTTGTCTTGTGGTTGTTGTTGTTTGACTTGCATCCCACTGGGATTTTTGCACATTTTTGTGTACGGTGCTTTTGCTGCAATATTTTACTGTCTTTTCTTGGATTTTCTGTTTGCACTCAGTTACATATTCACTTTAAGATGTTTTTTGTTCGTGTTTTTGTTTTTGTTTGTTGCGGTTGCACCCGATTCAAGAGCCGAATGGCTCACAGGGCTATACCTAATAAATTAACTTGAACTTGAACCCAGAGCCCCCATTGGCCACCGTGGCGGCTGTGAGCGCCATGTGGGGAACAGCTGATTGGTATCACCCCCCCACCCCCCAACGTCATTACTCACAGCCACGGCACCACCAAGGAGGTGGTGGTTGTGTTTGTATCCAAGTGACCGCACTTGGATAGAACCGTGATAATTGCACCTCCGATTAGTACAGTTGGCTACGTATGGTGCGAAAGAAGTTAAACATACATACATGTACACACACGTATACACGTGTACAGACACGCAAGTATATACACGTGTATACACATGTATACACATGCAAGTGAACACACACACACACACACGTATACACACACGCGTGTGTACACCAGTACATACTAGCATACACGCGTACACACACACACGCGTAAGCGTACGCGAGTACACAGGTGCACACATGCACACACCCACACAGCACCTGAGTCTGGATGCGGTTGAGGCCACGGAACCAGAGGATCTGTCCGCGCCGCAGCTCGCGCTCCGCGTGGTCGATCTCCTCCTCATCCTCCTCTCCCGGCCGCTGCTCCTCCTCCGTGGAGCCCTTACCAGCCTCGCGCAGGAACTTGAGGCGGTGAGACGGGACCGACGCGATCAGCTGTACCACCATGGGGGAGATGCACAGAGTGGACTACATGGGTGGGGAGTAGTGGTGGAGAGGGTAGTAGAGAGGAATTGGAGGACCGAGGGGGAGGGGATGAGGGAGATATGGGGAGATATTGGGAGGCACGGGAAGTCATGGGGAGACGCACGAGGAGAGACGCGGTGAGACACGTGGAGAGACACGGAGAGACACGGGGGAGACACGCGGAGAGACACGCGGAGAGACACGGAGAGAGACACGCGGGGAGACACACGGAGAGACACGCGGGGAGACACGCGGAGAGACACACGGAGAGACACACGGAGAGACACGGGGAGTCGAGGGGGGGAGGCGGCGTGCAGAGCTCACCTGTCCCCAGAGCAGCTCCCCGAGGCCCAGGAAGACGCACCAGAGCCAGTGCTCCAGCGACAGGCCCGTGCAGCTAAACGGCTTCCCCCCAAACTGCACGATCATTATCTGCACAATTGCCACAACCACCAACACAAGTGTTAAAATAACCACAACACAAATGAGCTGCTGCGTAGCTCTTGTTCAGAAGCGACCTGGCTATCACAAATGACAGGTGAATGAAGCGCTGGTTTATCATCTTCATCATTATCATCACGGTGACATGTATAGCGGTTAGCCAAATACTCGAAACGCTTGATGTTGATTCTAAATGTGGAGTGAAAAACCAGAGGACCCAGAGAGAAATACACGCGATCACAGGGAGAGAGACGCAAACTCCAAATATACGGCAGCAGGCGTGAGGGTCGGGATCGAACCCACGACCTCCTGCCTACCAGGCGAGAAAGTCGACATCTCCTAGCCACCATGATGATGATGAGAGAGAGAGAGAAAGATGCAAACTCCAAATATAAAACGGGCATCGTCACGGTCGGAGATCGAACCCACGACCTCCTGCCTACCAGGCGAGGAAGTCAACATCTCCTAGCGTGGCGCCCCCGCAGCGTTAACCGGGGCCAGGCCCTTCCACCAGCCGAACTTTTGTAAGGGTGGAGACGGGAGGAGGGGGGTACCCCGACACTCCCCCTCGGGCCCACCCCCTCCCCGACCCCCCCCCCCAACCCCCCTACAGGGGGCGTCTACCTGCAGGATGAATGTCCCCAGCACGATGGAGCAGAAGATGGGGTTGCGGAAGACTCCGTGGAAGACGTTGCGCTCGCCGTGGATCTTGCGCGCGTTGATTTCGTTGAAGAGCTGCATCATGACGAAAGTGTTGAACACCACGGTGTAGTGCTCCGAGGGCGGCGCGTGCAGCGGGGCGTTGCGCCCGTTGTCCACGTCCATTATCAACTCGCCTGGGGGGCACGCGGGGGGGGGGGGGGGGAGGTTGCCACGGGGGACGAGTGACGGTCGTGGACCCTCGCGTGGCCAGAAGTCGCTCCGTCTGCTCTGCTGCTACCACACTCACCCACCCCCCACTCTGCCCCCCCCCACACTCTCACCCCCCCCACTCTCACCCCCCCCACACTCACCCCCCCCCACACTCTGCCCTCCCCCCACTCTCACCCCCCCCACACTCTGCCCGCCCCCACACTCTGCCCCCCCCCACACTCACCCCCCCCACACTCTGCCCCCCCCCCCACTCTCACCCCCCCCCCCCACTCTCTCCCCCCAACCCACTCTCTCCCCCAACCCACTACTCTACTAGTACTACTACCGATGCTACTACTGCCGCTACTTCTACTACTATTGTCGCTACTACTACCGCTCCTACTACCGCTACTACTACTGCCGCTACTACTACTGCTACCATTGCCGCTACTACTACTGCCGCTACTACTACCGCTCCTACTACTGCTACTATTGGCGCTACTACTACTGCCGCTACTACTACGACCGCCACTTCTACTCCTACCGCCACTACTACTACTGCCGCTACTACTACTAGCGCTACCACCATTACTACGACCGCTGCTACTATTGCTACAACTACCGCCTCTACTACTACCACCACTACTACTGCCGACACTACTACTACGACTGCTACTGTCACTACTACGACTGATATTACTACTACTGCCAATACAGCTACTACTACGACTGCCACTATTACTACTATTGCTGCTACCACCGTTACTGCTACTGCTGCTACTGCTGCTACTACAGCGACTACTACCACCGCTACTACTACTATCGCTACGACTAGAACTGCTTCTACCACCGCTACAACTGCTACTACCACTGCTACTACAACTGCTACTACCACCGCTACTACTACTACAACCGCGACTACTACCAATGCTACTACCGCTACTAATACCACTGCTACAACTGCTACTACCGCTACTACTACCACTGCTACAACTGCTACTACCGCTACTACTACCGCTACTACTATCACTGCTACTACAACTACTACCACTGCTACAACAACTACTGCAACTACTACTACCACTGCTACATCTACTACTGCAACTACTACTACAACCGCTACTACTACTACTGCTACTACCGCTACTACTACCACTGCTACTACAACTACTGCAACTACTACTACCACTGCTACAACAACTACTGCAACTACTACTACCACTGCTACATCTACTACTGCAACTACTACTACAACCGCTACTACTACTACTGCTACTACCGCTACTACTACCACTGCTACTACAACTACTGCAACTACTACTACCACTGCTACAACAACTACTGCAACTACTACTACCACTGCTACAACTACTGCAACTACTACTACCACTGCTACAACTACTACTACAACCGCTACTACTACCGCTGCTACTACCGCTACTACTACCACCGCTACAACTGCTACTACCGCGACTACTACCGCTACTACCGCTACTACTACCACTGCTAAAACTACTACTGCCTCTACTATTGCCACCGCTCTCTCCAGGCCTGGCCGCCTCACCGGCAAAGAGCAGCGTGAAGATGACGGTGAGCTGGTAAACGGCGTGGCCCAGGATGTTCTTCATCATGGTGCGCGAGATGAGCGGCTTGTTGCGGCCGTACGGCCGGCGCAGGAGCAGCGCCTCGGTGGGCGGCTCCGTGGCGAGCGCTAACGATGCCAGCGTGTCCATGATGAGGTTCACCCACAGCATCTGCACCGCCTTTAGCGGGGAGTCCTGGGCACGCACACCGGGACGGTGGGGGGGAGAGGGGCAGTGGGCAGAGAGCAGAGAGGGGGGTACAAGTTGCAGCAGCAGCGGTATTAGCAGCAGAAGTAGTATCTGTAGCAGCAGAAGTAGTAGTATCTGTAGCAGCAGTAGTAGTAGTAGTAGTCTCTGTAGCAGCAGAAGTAGTGGTATCTGTAGCAGCAGGAGTAGTAGTATCTGTAGCAGTAGCAGCAGTGGTATCTGTAGCAGTAGTAGTCTCTGTAGCAGGATGGTATCTGTAGCAGAAGCAGCAGTAGTAGTAGTCCCTGTAGCAGGAGTTGTCGTGGTATCTGTAGCAGTCACAACAGTAGTAGTAGTATCTGTAGTAGCAGTAGTCGTGGTATCTGCAGCAGCAGTAGGAGTCTGTAGCAGCCGCAGCAGTGGTCTCTTTAGCAGCAGTAGCAGCAGTTGTCGTGAGTGCAGCACGGAGCCCCCCCCCCCCCGCCCCCACCTGCGTGATGCAGGCCCCGGTGAAGGCGACGATGACGGCCACCACGTTGACCGTGAGCTGGAACTGCAGGAACTTGGAGATGCTGTCGTAGACGTTGCGCCCCCACATCACCGCCTTCACGATAGAGCTGAAGTTGTCGTCCGTCAGGATGATGTCCGACGCCTCCTTGGCCACATCCGTGCCCGCGATGCCCTGCGGAGTGGGCGGGCCGGCGAGTGGGTGAGAACGAACAAGTGAGTGGATGAGTGGGTCAGTAGGCGAGCGAATGGGTGAGCGAGTGGATGCGTGAGTGAGTGAGTGGGCGAGCAGGTGAATGGGTGAGAGGGAGCAAGTGAGTGGGTGGGTGGGCGAGTGAGTGGGTGAGTGAGTAGATGAGCGAGTGAGTGAGTGAGTGGGTGGGTAAGAGCGCGAGCGAGGGGGTGATTGAGTGGGCGATTGCGTGAATGATTGAGCAAGCGAGTGAGTTGGTAGACAGACATGCGAGTGAGCGAAAGGGAGAGTGAGGTTGTTTATAAATGAGGGAGTGAGCATGGTACGTGATTCATTGGGTAAATGGGTGAATGAGTCAGTGGATGACCGAGTAGGCTATTGAGTGAGTGGGTGATTGAGTGAGTGTGTGCGTGAGTGGGTGAGTGAGTGAGTGCATGAGCAAGTGAGCGAGTTTGTATACAGACATGTGAGTGAGCAAGTTAATGAGTGGGTGAATGTGTAATAAAGGACTCTTCAGACGGTGTAGGTCTCCGTTGTCCTTTATTCAGGTTCATGTCTCTCTCGCCCCTGCGGCGTCCTCGCTCAGACCCGCACCTCCTCCACCGTGCACTCTGCAGCCACACCGCTGCTCCGCTCTGCAGCCACACCGCTGCTCCGTGTGCCCCGGAAACTCTGCTAGCTCTTTACGCCCGGCTAGCTTCCCACACTCCACTAGCTCTCCTCCCCTAGCTCGACTCCACTAACTCTATCCCACTAGCTCTGCTGTGCCCCACGTACACCGCTGGCCGACGGTGCCGTGGCCTCCCACCACGTGGCAAATGGCGCCACCCTCTCGCCACTGCCCAGCGTGGCCTCCCCCTATTTCCGCTCCTTCCCAACTCCCAGATCGCTTCCGGTTCTCCCCCTAAATCCTCTATCTCACGTGACCCTGACTCCTCCTTCTCCTCACGTGACCCAGACTCCGCCCCCTCTTTCCTTGCTCGCATTACAAATGAGTGAGTGGATCAATGGGCGGTGCGGTGTTTGTGTGGTGGTGGTGCCGTGTGGGTAAGCGGGGTGTGGTATGGTGTGGGTGTGCGGTGTGGGTGTGCAGGGGTGGGTGTGGTGTGGGTGTGGGGTGCGGTTGTGCGGTGTGCGTGTGTAAGTGTGTGTACGGCAAGTTGGCACAGTAGGGGGCACAGGTGGTGCATCGGCCAATCATCTCAGTCAGTCGACCCATTGCATCTGGGTCTGCCCCGTGACCTCCTGCCAGCGGGCGTGGTGACGTCACTGCCACTTAGTTGCGAATGGCGGTTGTCGTTGTTGTGTATCTGTGTGTATGTATGTGCGTGTGTGCAGTGGTCACCATGGCGAAGCCGACGTCGGCCTTCTTGAGTGCGGGGCCGTCGTTGGTGCCATCCCCGGTCACCGCCACCACCTGGCGCTGCTCCGCGGTCTGGCTGTCGATGATCCCTGTCGCCACGGCAACCGCACCACCATAACCGGTGCCAACACAACCGCATCAGCGCTACACACAGCGTGAGTATAACGGACAGCTGTGTGTGTGAGTCTGTGTGTGTAGCTGTGTGTGTAGCTGTGTGTGTGTAGCTGTGTGTGTGTGTAGCTGTGTGTGTGTAGCTGTGTGTGTGTGTAGCTGTGTGTGTGAGTCTGTGTGTGTAGCTGTGTGTGTGTAGCTGTGTGTCGCCGCGTGTGTGTAGCCGTGTGTGTGTAGCCGTGTGTGTGTAGCCGTGTGTGTGTGTGTGTGTAGCTGCGTACCCTTGACGAGTGTGTGTTTGTCCGTGGGCGAGGACCGCGCCAGAACGCGCAACTTGGGCCACACCTTGTCCAATCGCTCCTGTTCAATCTGAGACACAAAGACAAAGATCCCCCGTATGGACTTCACAGTCTGTTGGGGCACCCCACACCCTCACGCTCACAGCAGCCGCCATTCGATTATGCTAGGAGCACCTTGAGGCCACATGAAGTGTCGAAGGCTCGCTCGCAGGAGGTCACGGGGCAGACCCAGGTGCTATGGGTTAACCGACTGAGATGACTGACCGATGCACCACCTGTGCCCCCTACTGTGTCAACTTGCCGCATCTTAGCCACCCGGCGCTCCGCTCGTTGTTGCGAGCGCCACTCCTCCGCTCTCCATTGTTGCTAGAGGGCGACTGCCTCCAACTACCCGATAGCGTCCTTCATGAGCCTCCTCCTCCTCCACAGAGGCCGATCTTGACACTGCTGATACCGGTCATCGGCAAGTCCACTCAAAACCACATCCTCCTGTACCACATCAGCTCCATCTCTTCTCTAGGCTGTGTCACGCCCGTTTAGCCCCCTCTATCCGGCCAAACAATAGCTACTTGGCATCAACTCGCCTGACTGGGCATGTGGGCTCCGTGACCCAGCCAACGCAGCCTCGTCTGCCGGAGGAGCTCACCGATGGGACAGTGTCCAGATCTTTCAAGGATCTGTGAGCTCCTCACACAATCCGGCCTGCTCGTCATACACCACCCCTAGCACCCCAGCGAGCTCCTGTCTCCCCCCCCTGCCCGCCCTTCAGCCTTACCCCCCACCCCCCGCCCCCCCGCCCACCTCCCCGCGTTCGTTGCGGATTCGCCGGTTGAAGTCCTTGCCCTCGATACACAGGAAGTCCTCGCCGGGCGCCAAGATGCCGCACTTGATGGCGATGGCGCGCGCCGTGTTGATGTTGTCGCCCGTCACCATGCGCACCGTGATGCCCGCACGCTGGCACATCCGGATCGCGTCCGGCACCTGGCATGGGACGGAGGGGGCAGGTGGGTCGGTGGATCGGTAAGCGGATCAGCGGGTGGGTGGGCGAGCGAGACTTAGTGGGTGGGCAGGTGGGTGTGCGAGTGGGCGGGTGGGTAGGCGAGAGGGTGGATGGGCGAGCGGATGGGCGGGCGAGCGAGCGGGTGGAGCGGGCGAGCGGGCGGTAGGGTGTGTGGGGATGGTCGACAATGGGCGGGTCGCGGAGAGGTGGGGGTTGCGGCGGCTTCTGCGGCAGTCACCTCCGGGCGCACGGGGTCCTCGATGCCGACGACGGCCACGCAGGTGAGCTCGCAGACGATGGACGCCTCGTCTTCCCAGCTGGGCTCGGTACCCTGCGGGAAGTCACGGAGCGCCAGGCAGATGGTGCGCAGGCCGTCGTTGGCCATGGGCTCGATGACGCGGCGAGCCATCTCCTCACGCTCGCGCGCCTTGAACGGGCCCGGGGAGCCACTCGCGTCCAGGATCTGCGTGCACCTAGCCGGGCACCGCCGCCGAGAGGAAACGGGGGAGAGTGGTTAGGTGACGGTGGAGGCGATGGTGATGGGAGCGCGATGATGGCAATCTGCGTGCATCTTGCCGAGCACCGGTACCGGCCCGCGGCCTGTTAGGAACCTGGCCACACGGCAGGAGGCGAGCGCCGAGTCCGATTGTGGCCCCCGCCCCCTCTATTGTTTCATTATTCACCACTTCCGTCCGGGCCTCCTTCCCGCACTGCGCACTTGTCTCCGTCACCGTTTTGGTGAGCCCACAAGCTGCTAACCCCGAGCCAAAATGAGTAAAAAACAAACGTCGCTGGAGAGCTTCTTTGAAAAGGGGGAAAGACCCAATGATGACCCCCCCCCCCCGGGTCCATGAAAAAAATGTCTTCCACGAAACCGGTCCCTGGTGCCAAAAATGTTTGGGAACCAGGGTTGCGATTTCCGCACCAATTTCCGCAAACATGCTGTTTTCGACCGCATTTTGCGGTAGTTTCTGTGACCCTCTTCCGCACAAATTTCCGCAATTTGCGGTGATTCCTGTGAAGACTTCCGCAAATCGTGACTTCGATTCCCGCCTTTCTCGGTGCCGTACTCGCGCGGTTGGCGCACATATCTTGCGTATGCCCATTTGGCTCTGCTGACTTCTGGAAAAAACGATATGTATATATGAACTATGGATTCCTGCATTCAGACAGCGTTGTTGGTGCGCACGAACTGTGAAAAAATCAATGAGAGCCGCGAGCTCTTGTGCGTCGAAGTACTTGTCGATGCCGTCGATGAAGCACACTTGCCACAAGTACACGACGCCACCGTTGACATGTTTGTCGCCGATAGGAATCCCTACGGTTGCATCTTTCCGGATCGACGCAACCCCCGGCGCTGTGCTCAGGCCCTTTTGCCCAGCCCCATGATGTCTCCTAGCGTCTGCCATTCGGAGCCCTCGCAGTACTCGTAGCGACAAAGGAAAAACAAAAAAACTGTAGCATTTTCTTTATTCATATTCTGTCGATATGCAAAACTATTCATCGTCGCTCAGATTGCAGCGCGTTGGGAAATCCACTGGTAATTTTGGCCAAGCGCTCAGATACCCACGCTGTTTTCGATACGCTCGGATACACACGCGTTTCCGCTCAGGTAATATCCTCGTCCAGCGTACGCTCATTTGCCTCTGTCGTAGCTACTTTATACCTCCTGCGAATATATACACTTTACTGCTAACGATTAAAACTTTGGCGCACAGGTCGGTCGGCTGCGAGAGGGCTTTCTCTCTGCAAAACAACATCAAGCCCGAGGAGTGGTTGCTCCTCTCGTGCAAGCAGTTGAACGCGCTTATAGTTTGCGCCCGCGACAAGCCAAAACTCAGCATCTTTCACGCCGAAGACGACATGAAGCGCTGGAAGAATGCGAAGAAGTGAAAGTACATGTGCTCGTAATCACGGCTCCGCATTTGAATAAAGTATGTGGTTCTTGTGCGGAAATGCGGAAATCATATATTCATTCCAATCAGTAACTCAAAGCCCTACGTGATGCTGAGCCTTGCATGTATCCTTTCCAATAGAACGCATTAACGTGTTGTTAAAAGCGCGCGGTCATAGGAGTAGTCTTTCCACCGTTTGCGGTTGACTTTAGCAAAAATGCGGGAAAATTTGAACCCTCCTTCCGCATTTTCCATGCGGAAATCGCAACCCTGTTGGGAACCGCTGTATTAGACGCTGATAGAGAAGGCGTGGGTGATGGTGGGGGTGTGTGGAGGAGGTGTGAAGAGCAGCAGCAGGAGGAGGAGCAGGAGCAGGAGGAGGCTCACTTCTTGAGGAGGATCTCGGAAGCCCCCTTGCTGTAGAGACGGTATCCCCCTTCGGGCGTGCGCAGGACGGTGCTCATGGACTTGCGCGCCGAGTTGAAGGTGTAGACCTTGAAGAGGTGCTCCTCCGTCACCTCATCCCGCACTGCCTGGTAGTCTCGCTTCAGCTCCAGCAGCAGCCCCAGCAGCGAGCACTCCGTCTTGTTCCCCACCTGACGCGGCAGCCCCCCCTCGCGCTCGGGGGGCTGAGGGGGGAGAGGGATTTGGGGGAGAGTGAAGGAGGGGAGATTGGATGGAGGGAGTCGAAGCGATGGAAAAATGGGTGGGTGTTGTCATACAGAGTGAGTGAGGGAGTGAGTGAGGCATGGAGTGAGTGAGCAAGTGAGCGAGTGAGGGATGGAGTGAGTGACGGAGTGAGGGAGTAACTGAGTGCGTGAGGGAGTGATGTCAGGAGGGAGTGATGTCGGGAGGGAGCGAGTGAATGTGGGAGTGAGTGAATGTGGGAGTGAGTGAGTGAGGGAGTAACTGAGTGAGTGAGAGAGTGATGTCGGGAGGGAGTGATGTCGGGAGGGAGTGAGTGAGTGAGGGAGTGAGCGAGGGAGTGAGTGAGTAGGTGAGGCATGGAGTGAGTGAGCAAGTGAGCGAGTGAGGGATGGAGTGAGTAACTGAGTGAGTGAGGGAGTGATGTCGGGAGTGAGTGAGTGAGTGAGAAATGGAGTGAGTGAGCAAGTGAGCGAGCAAGTGAATGCGTGAGGGAGTGAGTGAGTGAGTGAATGAGGGATGTGGAGGTGGAGTGAGCGAGCGAGGGGCAGCAGCAGCAACAGCACCAGGATCTTGGTGGTGTAGGCCGAGTTGACGGCCACGCCGGTGGTCAGCGTGTCCAGCGTGGACGCCGCCACCTCCTCCGCAGCGGGGATCTTCTTGTGGTGCTTGCCCCCAATAAACAGCTGCACGCACGTACAGACACGTACACACACACAAGCACGCACAGACACGTACACACACACACAAGCACGCCCACATGTACGAGTTATGGCGCAGTTGTGGAGAGAGTGGAGAAGCTTCGGTACCTGGGCAACGTGCTTATGACCAGCTCCGGTTTGGCAGCCAAGGTCTCACTCTGAATCAGTCGAGCGGCATTATTTGTTAATCGGCTGCATAACGCTGCTATGTGGAAGCTGCCTGGTCTGTCGTTCCGCACAAAGCTTCGTGTCTTCTCGGTCACAGTCATGCCCCTCCCTTCTCTATGCGTGCAAAACGTGGTACCCCCTAAAGGGACATCTGCGCTGGTTTGAAACCTTCAGGCTGGTCTGCCTATGATCCATCCTAGGTTTAACCAAATTGGATTGTGTGAGGAGCTTACAGCTCCATCAGTAAGCTACCCTGGTAGACGATGCTGCGTTGGCTGGGTCATGTAGCCCGCATGCCCAAGCAGCTTCTGTTTGGCTGGATAGAGGGAGCTAAATGGGCATGGCATGATCTCGAGAAGAGATGGAGTGATGCGGTACAGGAGGATGTGGAGCTGAGTGGACTTGCCGATGGCTGGTACCAGCGGTGTAAAGATTGGCCTCTATGGAGGAGGCTCGTGAAGGACGCTACTGGGCAGTTGAAGGCAGTCGACCTCCAGCAACAGCGGAGGGTAAAGGAGCGACGTTCACAACAACGAGCGGAGCGCAGGCTGGATAAAATGCAGTTGCCACAGTAGGGGGCACCGCTGGTGCATTTTCCAGTCATCTCAGTCAGTCAACCCATGGCACCTGGGTCTGTCCCGTGACCTTCTGCCAGTGAGCTTTCGACACGTCACATAGCCTCAGCCTGGCGCAAGCGCCGTAGCGACGTCACCATCACTTCATGGCGGTCGTTGTTATTGGTGAGCATAGTGGTCAGCGAGGCTCGCCTGCATGGCCATCCTATGATTAGTGGTGAGTGTGGTGGTGGTGAGCGTGGTGGTAAGCGTGGTGGTGGTGAGCGTGGTGGTGGTGGTGAGCGTGGTGGTGGTGATGAGCGTGGTGGTGAGCGTGGTGGTGACGAGCTTGGTGGTGAACGAGGTGGTTAGCGGCTGACCTGCACGGCCGTCATGCGGTTGGTGGTGAGCGTCCCCGTCTTGTCAGAGCAAATGGCCGTGGCATTGCCCATCGTCTCGCACGCGTCCAGGTGCCGCACCAGGTTGTTGTCCTTCATCATTTTCTGTCGTTACAGCAACGCGGAGGAGCAGCAGCGCAAACGGGACGGTCGTCACGGCGATGCGCAGAGAACGGCCCACTCATACCTTCCCCTCACATCCTCCCACAATACACCTCACCGCTAGAGCAGCCCTCCCTCTCCCACAATGCACCTCACCGCTAGAGCAGCCCTCCCTCTCCCACAATGCACCTCACCGCTAGCACCGCCACCCCCCTCTCTGTCTCCCACAATACACCTCAACGCGTACGGCACCCCGTCTCCCACCACGCACCTCAATGCCGCCCCCTCTCCGTCTCCCACAATGCACCTTACCACGAGCGCCAAACCCCCCCCCCCCCACCCCCAATATTTTGCGGGTTCCCACAATGCACCTTGACGGAGTAGGCGAGGGCAATGGTGACAGCAAGGGGCAGCCCCTCGGGCACGGCCACGACGAGCACGGTGACGCCGATGATGAAGAACTTGACGAAGTACTGCACGTAGACCGGCGTGCACTCGGCCAGCCAGGGCAGGCCCTGCACCCAGAAGGTGTCGATCACGAAGTAGAGCACCAGGATCACCACGGTGATGGCCGACATCACCAGACCTGCGTGCGGTGGTGGGGGTCGGTGGTGGGGGTCGGTGGTGGGGGGTCGGGGGGTTACGTGGCGGTGGGGAGCGGTTCACGACGCAGCCGTCGCACAGCCCCCGGCAAGTCACCCGTGGCTCCAACGCACCGCTCACTGTGGCGGGCATCTCCCCCTACTCCCCTCTCCCCCCCCATCTCCCCCCTCTCCCCAACCCCTCTCCCCAACCCCTCTCCCCCCTGCCTCCCTCCAACTCCCCCCATCTCCCGCCCATCTTCCTCCATCTCCACCAGTCTCTCTCCACGTCTCCTTGTCTCTCCCCCCGGCCGATCTGTACCGCGAGCTTGGTGAGCTTCCCCTGCAGCACCGACTTCTCTCTATCGCCCCTACCCCCTCCCCCCATCTCTCCCGGTCTCTCTACATCTCCCCCCATCTCTCACAGTCTCTCACAGTCTCTTCCAGTATCTCACAATCTCTCCTGATCTCTCTACATCTCCCTCCATCTCCCCCCCCCCCCCATCTCTCACAGTCTCTCACAGTCTCTTCCAGTATCTCACAATCTCTCCTGATCTCTCTACATCTCCCTCCATCTCCCCCCCCCCCATCTCTCAGTCTCTCACAGTCTCTTCCAGTATCTCACAATCTCTCCTGGTCTCTCGACATCTCCCCCCTCCCCCATCTCTCACAGTCTCTCACAATCTCTCCTGGTCTCTCTACATCTCCCCCATCTCCCCCCATCTGTAAGTCTCTCACAGTCTCTTCCAGTATCTCACAATTTCTCCTGGTCTCTCTACATCTCCCCCCATCTCTCACAGTCTCTCACAGTCTCTCACAATCTCTCCTGGTCTCTCTACATCTCCTCCCCATCTCCCCCCATCTCTCACAGTCTCTCACAGTCTCTTCCAGTATCTCACAATTTCTCCTGGTCTCTCTACATCTCCCTCCATCTCTCCCCATCTCCCCCAGTAAATCTCCAAATCCCCCCATCCCTCTCCATCTCTCCCAGTCTCTCTCCATATCGCCCAGCCTCCCCCTTCCCCCCCGATCTCACCGGCCTTGCCAATCTGCACCGCGAGCTTGGTGAGCTTCCCCTGCAGCACCGACTTCTCCTTCTTGGGTGGCGATGGCTTCTTCTTGCGAGCCGCCTCCTCCCCCTCCCCCTCCCCCTTCTCCGCCCCCTTCAGCGGCTCCATCTCCATCTCCATGCCGTCCACGCCGTCCGCCCTGCCTGCACAGCCCCGCTCGGTGAGTGACGGTCGGTTACCGCGGTGCCGGTCGGTTACCGTGGTACTGGCCAGTGAGTTACCGTGGTGATGCTGAGTGAGTTACCATGGTGATGCTGAGTGAATTACCGTGGTGATGCTGAGTGAGTTACCGTGGTGATGCTGAGTGAATTACCGTGGTGCTGGTTGGAAAGTTACTGGGAAGTGGTAGTGTAAAAGTGGTGGTGTAGAAGTGGCAGTGTAGAAGTGGTAGTGTAGAAGTGGTAGTGTAGAAGTGGTAGTGTAGAAGTGGTGGTGTAGAAGTGGCAGTGTAGAAGTGGTAGTGTAGAAGTGGTGGTGTAGAAGTGGTTGTGTAGAAGTGGTGGTGTAGAAGTGGCAGTGTAGAAGTGGTAGTGTAGAAGTGGTGGTGTAGAAGTGGTTGTGTAGAAGTGGTGGTGTAGAAGTGGTAGTGTAGAAGTGGTGGTGTAGAAGTGGTGGTGTAGAAGTGGCGGTGTAGAAGTGGTGGTGTGGAAGTGGCGGTGTAGAAGTGGCAGTGTGGAAGTGGTAGTGTGGAAGTGGTGGTGTAGAAGTGGCGGTGTAGAAGTGGTAGTGTAGAAGTGGTGGTGTAGAAGTGGTGGTGTAGAAGTGGTAGTGTAGAAGTGGTGGTGTAGAAGTGGTAGTGTAGAAGTGGTAGTGTAGAAGTGGCGGTGTAGAAGTGGTAGTGTAGAAGTGGCGGTGTAGAAGTGGCGGTGTAGAAGTGGCGGTGTAGAAGTGGCGGTGTAGAAGTGGCGGTGTAGAAGTGGTAGTGTAGAAGTGGTAGTGTAGAAGTGGCGGTGTAGAAGTGGTGGTGTAGAAGTGGCGGTGTAGAAGTGGCGGTGTAAAAGTGGTAGTGTAGAAGTGGCGGTGTAGAAGTGGCGGTGTAGAAGTGGTGGTGTAGAAGTGGTAGTGTAGAAGTGGTAGTGTAGAAGTGGCAGTGTAGAAGTGGCGGTGTAGAAGTGGCGGTGTAGAAGTGGTAGTGTAGAAGTGGTAGTGTAGAAGTGGCAGTGTAAAAGTGGTAGTGTAGAAGTGGTAGTGTAGAAGTGGTGGTGTAGAAGTGGTGGTGTAGAAGTGGTAGTGTAGAAGTGGTAGTGTAGAAGTGGCAGTGTAGAAGTGGCGGTGTAGAAGTGGCGGTGTAGAAGTGGCAGTGTAGAAGTGGTAGTGTAGAAGTGGCAGTGTAGAAGTGGCGGTGTAGAAGTGGTAGTGTAGAAGTGGCGGTGTAGAAGTGGCGGTGTAGAAGTGGCGGTGTAGAAGTGGCGGTGTAGAAGTGGTAGTGTAGAAGTGGCGGTGTAGAAGTGGTGGTGTAGAAGTGGCGGTGTAGAAGTGGTGGTGTAGAAGTGGTAGTGTAGAAGTGGTAGTTTAGAAGTGGCAGTGTAGAAGTGGCGGTGTAGAAGTGGCGGTGTAGAAGTGGCGGTGTAGAAGTGGCGGTGTAGAAGTGGTGGTGTAGAAGTGGTGGTGTAGAAGTGTAGTGTAGAAGTGGTAGTGTAGAAGTGGTAGTGTAGAAGTGGTGGTGTCGAAGTGGCGGTGTAGAAGTGGCGGTGTAGAAGTGGCGGTGTAGAAGTGGTAGTGTAGAAGTGGTAGTGTAGAAGTGGTAGTGTAGAAGTGGTAGTGTAGAAGTGGCGGCGTAGAAGTGGCGGCGTAGAAGTGGCGGCGTAGAAGTGGCAGTGTGGAAGTGGTAGTGTGGAAGTGGTAGTGTGGAAGTGGTAGTGTGGAAGTGGTAGTGTGGAAGTGGTAGTGTGGAAGTGGTAGTGTAGAAGTGGTGGTGTAGAAGTGGTGGTGTAGAAGTGGCAGTGTAGAAGTGGTGGTGTAGAAGTGGCAGTGTGGAAGTGGTAGTGTGGAAGTGGTAGTGTGGAAGTGGTAGTGTGGAAGTGGTAGTGTGGAAGTGGTAGTGTGGAAGTGGTAGTGTAGAAGTGGTGGTGTAGAAGTGGTAGTGTAGAAGTGGTAGTGTAGAAGTGGCGGTGTAGAAGTGGTGGTGTAGAAGTGGCAGTGTAGAAGTGGTGGTGTAGAAGTGGCAGTGTGGAAGTGGTAGTGTGGAAGTGGTAGTGTAGAAGTGGCAGTGTGGAAGTGGCAGTGTGGAAGTGGTAGTGTGGAAGTGGTAGTGTGGAAGTGGTGGTGTAGAAGTGGTAGTGTAGAAGTGGTGGTGTAGAAGTGGCGGTGTAGAAGTGGCGGTGTAGAAGTGGTGGTGTAGAAGTGGCAGTGTGGAAGTGGTAGTGTAGAAGTGGCGGTGTGGAAGTGGTAGTGTGGAAGTGGTAGTGTAGAAGTGGTAGTGTAGAAGTGGTGGTGTAGAAGTGGCAGTGTGGAAGTGGTAGTGTGGAAGTGGTAGTGTGGAAGTGGTAGTGTGGAAGTGGTAGTGTGGAAGTGGTAGTGTGGAAGTGGTAGTGTAGAAGTGGTGGTGTAGAAGTGGCAGTGTGGAAGTGGTAGTGTGGAAGTGGTAGTGTGGAAGTGGTAGTGTGGAAGTGGTAGTGTGGAAGTGGTAGTGTAGAAGTGGTAGTGTAGAAGTGGTAGTGTAGAAGTGGTAGTGTAGAAGTGGCGGTGTAGAAGTGGTAGTGTAGAAGTGGTGGTGTAGAAGTGGTAGTGTGGAAGTGGTAGTGTGGAAGTGGTAGTGTGGAAGTGGTAGTGTGGAAGTGGTAGTGTAGAAGTGGTAGTGTAGAAGTGGTAGTGTAGAAGTGGCGGTGTAGAAGTGGTAGTGTAGAAGTGGTGGTGTAGAAGTGGCGGTGTAGAAGTGGTAGTGTAGAAGTGGTAGTGTAGAAGTGGCGGTGTAGAAGTGGTAGCGTAGAAGTGGTGGTGTAGAAGTGGCAGTGTGGAAGTGGTAGTGTGGAAGTGGTAGTGTGGAAGTGGTGGTGTAGAAGTGGTAGTGTAGAAGTGGTGGTGTAGAAGTGGTAGCGTAGAAGTGGCGGTGTAGAAGTGGTAGCGTAGAAGTGGTAGCGTAGAAGTGGTAGCGTAGAAGTGGTAGTGTAGAAGTGGTGGTGTAGAAGTGGTAGCGTAGAAGTGGTAGTGTAGAAGTGGTGGTGTAGAAGTGGCAGTGTGGAAGTGGTAGTGTGGAAGTGGTAGTGTGGAAGTGGTGGTGTAGAAGTGGTAGCGTAGAAGTGGTAGTGTAGAAGTGGTGGTGTAGAAGTGGTAGTGTGGAAGTGGTAGTGTGGAAGTGGTAGTGTGGAAGTGGTGGTGTAGAAGTGGTGGTGTAGAAGTGGTAGTGTAGATGTGGTGGTGTAGCGGGTAGCGCGTTGCGCTACAAACCCGCAACCCAAGCTCGAATCCCGCTCACGGCCAACACCAGTGACGATTATCTGAACTGGTCCTGGGCCTCCCCAAGGTCGACTAAGCCTAAAATGTGTACCTGTTGCAGCGTGTAAACATCGCGACTGGGGAGACAAAGGCGGTCGGGTGTGGTGCTGCCCATCCAGCCCCTTGTGTGCCGTGCCGGCCTTTACGAGCGCTGCTCGCTACCAGTAGTGCGACAGGGGTGTGAGTACCTTTGATGCGGCCTGCCTCGGCCGCTGCAGCTGATGCATCCTGCTTCTTGCCTGGAGGACAGAGGGTTAGGATATGGAGATCAAGGTCAAGAGGAGAGGGTGGGAGGATGTGTGGGGATCATGGTAGCGTTTATATATTGGCTGTGAGCGCGAATCGAACTCGGGCCACAGTATAGTTCGCTAACCGCTTTGCTACTGCGCACCCTACAGAGGCACGCACACATGAACCCCCATACACACGCCCACAACCGCTGATTAGCACTAAGTGGAGCTGATGTCACCGCTTTTGCCAGGCTAGATGCGGTGTGTAGTGGTGCCATGTGCAGTGCTCCTATGTATAGTGGTGTATAGTGGTGTGTGGTGGTGTGTAGTGGTGTGTAGTGGTGTGTCGTGGTGTGTCGTGGTGTGTCGTGGTGTGTGGCGGTGTGTGGCGGTGTGTGGCGGTGTGTGGTGGTGTGTAGTGGTGTGTAGTGGTGTGTCGTGGTGTGTCGTGGTGTGTGGTGGTGTGTGGCGGTGTGTGGTGGTGTGTGGTGGTGTGTGGCGGTGTGTCGTGAAGTCTGGTGGTGTGTAGTGATCTGTGGTGGTGTGTGGTGGTGTGTGGTGGTGTGTGGTGGTGTGTGGTGGTGTGTCGTGAAGTCTGGTGGTGTGTCGTGAAGTCTGGTGGTGTGTAGTGATCTGTGGTGGTGTGTGGTGATCTGTGGTGGTGTGTGGTGATCTGTGGTGGTGTGTGGTGGTGTGTGGTGGTGTGTGGTGGTGTGTAGTGATCTGTGGTGGTGTGTGGTGATCTGTGGTGGTGTGTAGTGATCTGTGGTGGTGTGTGGTGATCTGTGGTGGTGTGTAGTAATCTGTGGTGGTGTGTAGTGATCTGTGGTGGTGTGTAGTGATCTGTGGTGGTGTGTAGTGATCTGTGGTGGTGTGTGGTGGTGTGTGGTGGTGTGTGGTGGTGTATAGTGGTCTGTGGCGGCGTGTGGCGGCATGTGGCGGCTTGTGGCGGCGTGTAGTGAAGTCTGGTGGTGTGTAGTGGTCTGTGGTGGTGTGTGGTGGTGTGTGGTGGTGTGTGGTGGTGTGTGGTGGTGTATGGCGGCGTGTAGCGAAGTCTGGTGGTGTGTGGTGGTGTGTCGTGGTGTGTGGTGATGTGTGGTGGCGTGTGGTGGCGTGTGGTGGCGTGTGGTGGCGTGTGGTGGCGTGTGGTGGCGTGTGGTGGCGTGTGGTGGCGTGGTGGTGGCGTGGTGGTGGCGTGGTGGTGTGTGTGGTGGTGTGTGTGATGGTTTGTGGTGGTGTGTGGTGGTGTGGTGGTGTGTGGTGGTGTGTCGTGGTGTGTGGTGGTGTGTAGTGGTGTGTAGTGGTGTGTAGTGGTGTGTGGTGGGGTGTGGTGGTGCGTGGTGGTGTGTGTGGTGGTGTGTCGTGGTGGTGTGTAGTGGAGGCGTGCATGGTGCCCCCCCCCCGTGCCCACATCCCCTGTGCCCACCCTTCTTGTCCTTCTCCTTGCTCTTGCTCTCCTCCTCGCTGCTGGCGCCCAGCAGCGTGAATATGATGCCAGTCTGGGAGTTGACGCCCACGGCCGACACCAGCATCTTGCCCGACCCCTCCATCACGTGCGTGCCTGCGGGGCCGGCAGTCACCGTGACGTTGTTACCTCGTCACCTTGGACACCGCGGAGCAACCTCCGAGGTCACCACAAACGTCGTCTCGCCTTCGTCGGGTGACGTCGCACATACGGCAGGGGGCAGCACTTGCCCAGCCCCGCCGGGCGAGAGGAGCGCTCGGCACGTCCCAGTCAACGCGATGCGTACACATATAAAGAGGTCAGTGTGAGTCTACTGGTCTCTGTGTGAGTCTACGGGTCCCTGTGCGGGTCTCAGTGTAGATCTCTGTGTGCGTGTGTCGGTGTCTGTGTGTTTGAGTGAAGGGGGCGTGGGAGCGAGGCGGTGAGGTGTGGGAAGCGGCAAGTCCCAGACTACTTTGGGCTCGCCTTCCCTTAAACCGGAATCGAGGAGTTGTGGTTGTGGTTACCTATGCCCCTACCGAAGACGAACATACGTGGAGGGATGCAGGCAAGGTTGATGAGAGTCAGATGGCTTTAATGACCTCTTGTCACAGGTGCTAGCTAAAGTGGCCCCTCGGGATAAAGTCATCCTGTTGGGCGACTTCAATGTCCGAGTTGGTCATGATGCTGGCACCTGGTCTGGAGTAATCAGAAGGCATGGGCCACATCAGCTCAATACCAACGGTAGGAGGCTGCAATATTTTTATGTAGCCCATGTGCTTGTAATTACCAACACACTGTTCCTGCATCGGCGCATCCACACAACATCATGGATGCATGCCGGGTCCAAGCGTGAACGTATACTGGACTACACAGCGGATGCGGACCCATGTCCTTGACACCGGGACCTACCGTGGAGCTGATCTGCCCACTGACCATCGACTTGTCATCTGTAAGATGCGCCTGCCATTCTTCCATTCCGGTGGTGGGTGGACACCCAGGACCCCATTCAAACCCTTAGTGGCCTGGTCTCAGCTAGCTGATGAAAGTTGCAAGCAAGAATTGAATCATCGCTTGCGGCTGGGGTTGGCATCATCCCCCACTCCTCCAAATGTCGAGGGGAAATGGGCGAGGTTTAGGACTGTGGCTCATGCAGCTGCAATGGCTGCTTTGGGTACACTGTCCAGACCCCCCCAGAGATCCTGGCTGACAGAGGAGGTGTTCATTCAGGCTGGCTGAGAAAAAGCGACAGGCCCACTCGCATAGTCTACAGCATCCAACGTCAGAGAATGAGGAGGTTCGGAGAGACGTGAGGCGCTGCAAGGTTAAGTGGTGGTCGCGGGTTGCTGAGGAGATGGAGTCTGCCTCAATGGCCAGCGATCACAAATCTTTATTTAACTCCATCAAAAAAGTAACCTGCAGCATCACACCTATTACCATCACTAGGGGAAAAACGGTGATCCAATATCCGACCCCCAGGAACAGGTTTGCAGATTTGCTGAGCATTTCCATAAAGTCCTGGGGGAGGGGAAATCACTCGGCATAGAAAACATCGTGGGACCAAGTGGGGATGACCCTGCTGAGGCAGCGGTGTCTCAAATATTTGAAGAAGTCACCTCCTGTGAGGGGCTGGCTGAGATGCCATCTGTTGAGGAAGTACTAAAGGCGATCCAGAGTCTGAGACCAGGAAAGGCACCGCGCAGAGATGATCTCCCAAGCGAAATGCTGAGGGAGGGTGGCGTTTGTGCACAAAATGCCCTACATGACATCATAACAACAGTCTGGACCACTGGACGGGTTCCGCAGGACTGGAAGGATGCCCTGGTGGTCCCCCTCTTTAAGAAGGGGAACTGCACAGACTGTAACAACTACAGGGGAATCTCACTCCTCAGTGTGCCGGGAAAGGTCCTGGCAAGGATTATTCAACATCGCCCTGCCAGGCACGCTGAGGAGAGGCTTGCGGAGCCCTAATGCGGTTTCAGGAAAGGACGGTCCTGCACATATGCCATATTTTCCGTCCGTCTCCTACAACAGAGGTGTAGAAAATTGCAAAAAGACCTACATCTCTGCTTTATTGACCTGGTCAAGGCCTATGATACCATCAGTAGGCCTGGGCTCTGGGTTATTCTTCGTGCTTTCGGAGTCCCTGACCCTCTGCTCATGATCATTAAGGACCTTCCTTAATGATCATGAGCGGGCTCGGCTAAAAACTACCTGGCCGGGAGTTGGAGCCATTCCCTGTTCACCTTGGGGAGTGACAGGGATGTCCTCTGGCTCCCACATTACTTTACATCTTTTTCGACCACGTAGTTCGTTAAGACTTTGATGGCTGTACCGGAGGAATTTCCATCTGGTATAGATATAATGGGAGGCTGATCGATGCCCGGGTGCGGTCAAGGGATGGCTCCCTATTGCTCAACCACGTTATGTATGCCGATGATCTGGTAATTGCCGCTCACTCAGAGGAGGAGTTGGAGGCGCTGCTGCTGAACCTGAAGCGTACCACTAAGAGGTGGGGCCTTACCATCAGTCTCACCAAAACTAAGCATCTGCCTGCGCATTTTGTACCATCGGACACTCCACCCCCACAACTCCCAATTGGTGATGGGGCAGTTGTGAAGAGAGTGGAGAGTTTCCCATACCTTGGCGGTGTGCTCATGACCGGCTCCATAGGTCTCACTCCAAATCAGTCGAGAGGCATTATCTTTTCATCTGTTGCGTAACGCTATGTGGAAGCTACCTGGTCTATCACTCCGCACGAAGCTTTAGGTCTTTTCGGCAACGGACATTCCCTCCCTTCTCTACGCTTGCGAAACGTGGACCCCCCTAATGGAACATATTCACCAGTTAGAAAAATTTAGGCTGGCCTGCCTACGATCCATCCTGGGTTTAACCAAACCTAAGAGTATGAATCCTTTCAGTCACGAAAGCTTAAAATCTAGAATTAACCAGGCTGGATTGTGTGCAGCAGGCAAGGCTGTGTTGGCTGGGTCATGTAGCCCGCATGCCTAGCCACCGCATGCCAAAATAGCTTTTGTCCGGCCGGATCGAGGGGGCTAAACGGGCGCAGCATGGGCTAGAGAAGAGATGGTGTGGTGCAGGAGGACGTGGAGCTAAGTGGACTTTCCGATGACCAGTACCAGCGGTGTCAAGATCGGCCTCTGTGGAGGAGGCTCGTGAAGAACGCTACTGGGCAGTTGGAGGCAATCGCCCTCCAACAACAACGGAGGGCGGAGGAGCGACGCTCACAACAATGAGCGGAGCGCCGGGTGGTTAAAGCACAGCAAGTTGGCACAGTAGGCGGCACAGGTGGTGCATCAGCCAGTCATCTCGGTCATCTCAGTCAGTCGACCCGTGGCACCTGGGTCTGCCCCGTGACCTCCTGCCAGTCGGCGTTCGACACTTCACGTGGCTTCAAGGTGCATATGGCCTGGCTACAAGTGTCGTGGTGACGTCACCACCATTTAGTGGCGAATGGCGGTTGTTGTTGTCTGTGAGTCTCCCCAGTGTGGGTGTGTGTGTCTGTGTGTCCAAGTCTCGCCAGTGCTGGTCTCCGTGTGTGTGTGCATACCAGAGAGCAGCATGGGGTCGCGGTCGACGGCCTTGCGCACGTGGTCCGACTCCCCGGTGAGAGAACTCTCATCGATCTTCAAGTCGTTGCTCTGGATGACCACGCCGTCAGCCGGGAGCAGGTCGCCTAGCAACCACGGCAACAGGTATAGCACCGGAGTGGGGAGGAGGTAACGTTAGTGGTGGCATTAATGAGATGGTGGTGGTGGTCGCTATGGCGATGGTGTTGGTAGCGATGATGATGATGGTGGGTGTTGGTGGTGATAATGGTATTGGTACCAATGATGGTGTGGATGGTGGTAGCAACGATGGGTGGTAGCAACGATGGTGGTAGCGATGGTGGTGGTAATGATCATGGTGGCAGCGATGGTGGTGGTGGTGGCAGCGATGGTGGTGGTTGTGGCTGCGATGATCAAAATCAATATCATAATCTTTATTTTGGCTGGATGAAAAACGATGAGCTATTAAGCTCTTTTTCACAGATGTCCAGATCGTGGTGGTGGTGGTTGTAGGAGTAGTGATGACGATGGTCATGGTTGATGGTAGTGGTGATGGTAGTGGTGATGGTTGTGGTTTTTGTGATAGTTGCGATGGTTGCGATGGTGACGATGGAAGGTAGAAATTATGTTGGTGGTGATGGTGTTGGTAGCAATGATGATGGTGGTGGCGAGGGTGGTGGTGAAGGTGATGGTGGTAGTAGTGATGGTGGTGCTGATGGTAGCAATGATGTTGGTGGTGGTGATGATGATGGTCATTATGTTGTTGATAATGATGATGATGGTGGTGGTGGCGGTGACTGCGGTGGTGAAGTGACCGCCGCACCCCCCCCAACCCTACACCCGCCCCCTCTCACCGTACTTGACCTGTGCCACATCCCCCACCACAATGTCAGCCACGGGGATCTGGATGACCTGGCCCTGGCGGATAACGGTGAACTTCTGCTCCTGCTCAATGCGGTTCTGCAGGCCTCGGAATTGTCGCTCCTTGCTCCAGTCGTTGAAGGCCGTGACAAGCACCACGACGATGACGGAGAGGAGGATGGCCGCTCCTTCGATCCAGCCGGCCTCCGCCTCGCCCTCCTCGCCGCCGCTGCCCGCCGCATTCCCGCACGCTGCGCACGGGGACACAGAGACGGGGAGAAAAGGGGAGACATGGGGACAGTGGGACACGCACGGGGACGGGGTGATACGGGGAAGGGGGGGGACACACGGGGGACACACACACGGGGGGACGCCCGGGGGGAGACATGGGGGGGGGCACATGGGGAGGCACCGAGACACAAGGGGACACACAGAAACAAGGACATACACAGACAAACACACGGACACAAACACCACCACGGTTATTAACAGAGCCGTCCCCACCCCCGTCATGGCCCCGTACCAGTCCCGAGCTCACCCCGTGCGCTAACGGCCGACGACTCGGCGCCTCCCTTTACTGCAGCTGCCACTTCAAAGCCACCGCCGCCTTCAAACGTCTCCCCTCGTCACTGTCCCCCTCCCGTCACCCCTCCCATCATCCCCTCCCCCCTCCCGTCTCCGCTTTCGTCTCCCCTCATGTCTCCCCATGTCCTCATGTCCCCGCAACCCCACGTCTCCACGTCCCCATCTCTCCGGGTCTCCATCGTTGTCCCAGTGACGTCAGTGTCCCCCCCACCTGCCCCCCCGCCCCGTGTCCCATCCCGTCCTGGTAGATACTTTACTGCACCTTTTACTGCGTTACATTTTGACTTAAAACTTTCGTGACTGCAGGAATTAATATTCTTTGGTTCTTTCGGTAAAGTCTCGTAGATAGAAAAATAATAATAATAATAATACCAAAATAAGTTAATAGAAATCAAATAAAAAGAATAAACAAGAAAAATACTAATGTAGACTTTAACCTGGTTATTAAGCTGGTGAGTGTACTGGCAGTCTATAATGTAGACTGTAGCCTGGTTATTAAGCTGGCGAGTGTACTGGCAGTCGATAATGTAGACTGTAGCGAGGTTATTAAGCTGGTGAGTGTACTGGCAGTCAATAATGTAGACTGTAGCCTGGTTATTAAGCTGGTGAGTGTACTGACAGTCTATAATGCAGACTTTAGCCTGGTTATTAAGCTGGGTGAGTGTACTGACAGTCTATAATATAGACTGTAGCCTGGTTATTAAGCTGAGTGTACTGGCAGTCTATAATGTAGACTGTAGCCTGGTTATTAAGCTGGTGAGTGTACTGGCAGTCGATAATGTAGACTTTAACCTGATAATTAAGCTGAGTGAGTGTACTGGCAGTCTATAATGTAGACTGTAGCCTGGTTATTAAGCTGGTGAGTGTACTGGCAGTCGATAATGTAGACTGTAGCCTGGTTATTAAGCTGGGTGAGTGTACTGGCAGTCTATAATGTAGACTTTAACCTGGTTATTAAGCTGAGTGAGTGTACTGGCAGTCTATAATGTAGACTGTAGCCTGGTTGTTAAGCTGAGTGAGTGTACTGGCAGTCTATAATGTAGGCTTTAAACTGGTTATTAAGCTGAGTGAGTGTATTGACAGTCTATAATGTAGACTGTAGCCTGGTTATTAAGCTGGTGAGTGTGCTGGCAGTCTATAATGTAGACTGGAGCCTGGTTATTAAGCTGAGTGAGTGTACTGGCAGTCTATAATGTAGAGTGTAGCCTGGTTGTTAAGCTGAGTGAGTGTACTGGCAGTCTATAATGTAGACTTTAACCTGGTTGTTAAGCTGAGTGTACTGGCAGTCTATAATGTAGACTGTAGCGAGGTTATTAAGCTGGTGAGTGTACTGGCAGTCAATAATGTAGACTGTAGCCTGGTTATTAAGCTGGTGAGTGTACTGACAGTCTATAATGCAGACTTTAGCCTGGTTATTAAGCTGGGTGAGTGTACTGACAGTCTATAATATAGACTGTAGCCTGGTTATTAAGCTGAGTGTACTGGCAGTCTATAATGTAGACTGTATCCTGGTTATTAAGCTGAGTGAGTGTACTGGCAGTCTATAATGTAGACTGTAGCCTGGTTATTAAGCTGGTGAGTGTACTGGCAGTCGATAATGTAGACTTTAACCTGATAATTAAGCTGAGTGAGTGTACTGGCAGTCTATAATGTAGACTGTAGCCTGGTTATTAAGCTGGTGAGTGTACTGGCAGTCGATAATGTAGACTGTAGCCTGGTTATTAAGCTGGGTGAGTGTACTGGCAGTCTATAATGTAGACTTTAACCTGGTTATTAAGCTGAGTGAGTGTACTGGCAGTCTATAATGTAGACTGTAGCCTGGTTGTTAAGCTGAGTGAGTGTACTGGCAGTCTATAATGTAGGCTTTAAACTGGTTATTAAGCTGAGTGAGTGTATTGACAGTCTATAATGTAGACTGTAGCCTGGTTATTAAGCTGGTGAGTGTGCTGGCAGTCTATAATGTAGACTGGAGCCTGGTTATTAAGCTGAGTGAGTGTACTGGCAGTCTATAATGTAGAGTGTAGCCTGGTTGTTAAGCTGAGTGAGTGTACTGGCAGTCTATAATGTAGACTTTAACCTGGTTGTTAAGCTGAGTGTACTGGCAGTCTATAATGTAGACTTTAACCTGGTTGTTAAGCTGAGTGAGTGTACTGACAGTATATAATGTAGACTTTAACCTGGTTGTTAAGCTGAGTGAGTATACTGGCAGTCTATAATGTAGACTGTAGCCTGGTTATTAAGCTGGTGAGTGTACTGGCAGTCGATAATGTAGACTGTAGCCTGGTTATTAAGCTGAGTGAGTATACTGGCAGTCTATAATGTAGACTGTAGCCTGGTTATTAAGCTGGTGAGTGTACAGGCAGTCGATAATGTAGACTGTAGCCTGGTTATTAAGTTGAGTGAGTGTACTGGCAGTCTATAATGCAGACTGTAGCCTGGTTATTAAACTGAGTGAGTGTACTGGCAGTCTATAATGTAGACTGTAGCCTGGTTGTTAAGCTGAGTGAGTGTACTGGCAGTCTATAATGTAGACTTTAACCTGGTTGTTAAGCTGAGTGAGTGTACTGGCAGTCTATAATGTAGACTGTAGCCTGGTTATTAAGCTGAGTGAGTGTACTGGCAGTCGATAATGTAGACTGTAGCCTGGTTATTAAGCTGAGTGAGTGTACTGGCAGTCTGTAATGTAGACTGTAGCCTGGTTATTAAGCTGAGTGAGTGTACTGGCAGTCGATAATGTAGACTGTAGCCTGGTTATTAAGCTGAGCGAGTGTATTGACAGTCTATAATGTAGACTGTAGCCTGGTTATTAAGCTGAGTGAGTGTACTGGCAGTCGATAATGTAGACTTTAACCTGGTTGTCAAGCTGAGTGAGTGTACTGGCAGTCGATAATGTAGACTTTAACCTGGTTATTAGGCTGAGTGAGTGTACTGACAGTCTATAATGTAGACTTTAACCTGGTTATTAAGCTGAGTGAGTGTACTGGCAGTCTATAATGTAGACTTTAACTTGGTTGTTAACCTGAGTGAGTGTACTGGCAGTCTATAATGTAGTATTTAACCTGGTTATTAAGCTGAGTGAGTGTACTGGCAGTCTATAATGTAGACTTTAACCTGGTTGTTAAGCTGAGTGAGTGTACTGACAGTCTATAATGTAGACTTTAACCTGGTTATTAAGCTGAGTGAGTTTTCATGTAGACTTATTATTGGTTCTTTCAGTAATAAAAATAAAATAAATGTTAAATAAAAAACAAAAACCACGACGTTTTGATTGCAACACAAGCGGTCGTCATCAGGAAAAGGGGGGTTAGCCTCTAAAGGCAAACTGTTGAAAAGGTTTCGGGATGGGCGTAGCCCCAGTGTGTCAGCAGCATGCAGCACACTTGTGTTGCGATCGAAACGTCGTGGTTTTGTTTATTTTATTTTTATTACTGAAAGAACCAATAAACAGGACCCTGCGGGGTGGGCTGGTAGGAATAATACTTAGTACCGGTACAGGGATATCGACCGGGTATAGAGGAGTTAAAGAAAAAAATACTGTATTCTAGTGTAACGTTAATTAAAAGTGTTTGTTTTGACAAGAAACGCTGTGAGATTTAAAGACCCCCCAACACCACCCTCAACACCACCCCTCACCACCCCCCACCACCACCACCCCACCACCACCACCCCACCACCACCACCTTCTGCACTAGGCCTCGCGAAGCCTGCCGCACTAGACCTCGCAAAGCCTGCTGCACTAGGCCTCGCGCCATGCTTTTCGTGCACAAATAAGGTGATTAAATGTATCTCGTCTCTGTGTTAATAAATGTTTCTTGTCTCTGTGTTAAAAAAAACGTGCTGCGTATCAGTAAAGTATTTTTTTTTAAATAAACGTGCTGCGTTTCAGTAAAGTAATTTTTTTTTTTAATAAACGTGCTGCGTTTCATCTCTGTGTTAATAAGCCTGCCGCACTAGGCCTCGCGAAGCCTGCCGCACTAGGCCTCGCGCCGTGCTTTTCGTGCACAAATAAGGCAATTAAATGTATGTCGTCTCTGTGTTAATAAATGTTTCTTGTCTCTGTGTTAAAAAAACGTGCTGCGTTTCAGTAAAGTAATTTTTTTTTAAAACGTGCTGCGTTTCAGTAAAGTAATTTTGAAGCGAAGTTTAAAGTTTTGCCGTGATGCGCCGGAAGCGACGGCCATCTTGTTTAATTCACAGATCGCAGGGGGAGCGGGCGGCTATCTTGTCGGACAGGGTCATGCCAAGTGTTTGCAGTAGGGGGCGATGTTGATACACGGACGGACGGACGGATGGACGGATGGACAGTCGGACGGACGGACGGACACATTAATCTATTGGTGGTCTGGTCCACTTCGCTCCTACCAGTATAAGTCTACATTATAGACTGTCCAGTACATTAATGTTTTTTTGTTTTTATTATTTTTTATTTATTTTTTATTTTTATTAACTTTATTTTTTATTATATTTTTATCGTCGTGACTTTACCGAAAGAACCAAAGAATACTCTTACTGCGTTATTGGTCAGGTGATATCACATCTCTATCCGAGCGCAAGCGTCCCCACGTGTTCCCCTGCATCCACATGTCCCCGTGTATCCTCCCCCATGTCCCCGTGTCTCCCCCGCGTCCCCATGTCTCCCCCGTGTCTCCCATGTGTACCCCCCCCCCGCGTGTACCCCCCCTCACACTCGTCGTTGCCCTCGGGCGGGTGGTAGAAGGAGAGTCCCAGCGACACGAGGGCCGCCACCTCAAGGATGATGAGCGTCACGTCTTGCAGCGCCTCCCACACGAGTGCCAGGAACGACTTGGGCTTCTTGGGGGGGATGAGGTTCGCTCCGAACACCGCACGCCGCTGCTCCAGGTCCGCCTGGCTCCCACTCAGCCCTGCCCAAGCACGCACGCACGCGCACCATGTACACGCGCGCACGTGTACGCGCAACCTGTACGCGCAACAAGCACGTACACAAGTACGCGCACGCACGGCATGTGCACGCATGTGCAAGTCTGCACACGCAGCATCCGGATGCACGCACGCACGTTTTACACGCAACACGCTGCACACGCACCCACCCCCGTGTAAGCAAAGGCCCGCGCCCCTCCCTCCCCCCCTCCCCCCGCTCACCGTCGGTGGGCGAGGTGCCGAGCCTGTGGCACAGGCCGTGTACGCCACCGTAGGCCTCCGCCACCTTGGCGATGGCCTCCGTGCCGCGCACCTCCATGAGGTCGCGTAGCTCCTGCAGCGAGCAACCAAAGGGCCCCCCCCCCGGCGGCCCCAGCGCCGCCCCCCCGCCCTTCGGCAGGAAGTCCACGGTGGTGCTGTTCCCGTCCGCCATGTCGGCAGGCGTGGTGTCGCCTGCCCCCAGCGATCGATGAGCTCCCGTAGATCTCTCGTCGTCCCGTTCCCGATCGCAGCCTCACGTCGCCGGCCAGTCGCAGCAGTCAGCGGTGGTGGACGTAGACGTGGAATGAATTTGCCAACTGCGGCTAACTGGGCTGGCAGCTGCTGCTGCTCTTCCACCCTACTCCCTCCTGCTCCCTTCTACTCCCTCCTGCTCCCCCCCGCCCACCCCTCCTCTCCTCCTCCTCCCCCCCCTCCTCCTCCCGTCTCCTCCGTCCTGCTGCTCCCCCTATGTGCTCCCCCCTGGCTGTTCCCCCCTTGGCTGCTGCTGCTGCTGATGAGGCCACAAGGAGCAGGAGGTGCAGCAGGAGTCGGTGGCGCAACGACGCCGGGCGAGTGACGCGGCCGCTAGCCGCGGGCAACTTCGGCGGCCGAGGGGCGAGCGGCCATCGTCGGGCCCCGTGAGGCGAGCGCAGCGGCCCTGGGGGGGTGGACGGAGTGGGGGGGAGAATGGAGCGAGTTAACCGCTACGGTCGGAACACGTGCAACAACATCGTGGTGGTCATTAACCTATCAACCGCTTGCAAGCCCATCTCCTGGTTACAGGCACGACTGGAAATTCCACATTCCTATGGTGGAGGCGAGTTGACTCAAAGGACAACCACTGTTGTTGTTGTCAATCTTCTCCACGAAGTGGTGCTCGTTTTATCGACCCCCAGAGGGAACGATGGATGATAGGCCGAGTCAGGATCAATCCACTGCTGGATGAAGCATTCGTGAGCCATCGCCATCTCTCGCAGTGCCAGGAACACAAAGACATGGAGACACGGAGATACGGGACAGAGGGGACATGGAGACACAGGGCCACAGAGACACGGGGCCACAAAGACACAGGGCCACAGAGACACAGAGACACGGGCCACAGAGACATGGAGACACAAAGACACAGAGACACGAGGCCACAAAGACACAGGGCCACAGAGACACGGAGCCACAGAGACACGGTGCCACAGGGATACAGAGACACGGGGCCATGGAGACACAGGGCCACAAAGACACAGGGCCACAGGGCCACAGAGACACAGGGCCACAGAGACACGGGGCCACAAAGACACGGGGCCACAGGGCCACGGAGATACAGAGACACAGGGACATGGAGACACAGGGCCACAGAGACACAAAGACACGGGGCCACAAAGACACGGGGCCACAGAGACACGGGGCCACAAAGACACAGGGCCACAGGGCCACGGAGATACAGAGACACAGTGACACGGAGACACAGAGGCACGGTGCCACAGAGACACAGGGACACAGAGACACAGGGACACAGAGACAGGGCGGGGGCGTTTGGTTCAACTCCCCCCCTACGACCCCCCCACTCAGGCCGTGATATGCGATGCCTCTGTGGCTGAGGAGGTAAAACCGGCGCGGACCGAACCAGTGGCAAGGAAATTGGAGACGCGCGCATGCACACACACACACATGTACATACACACACGTACACACACACACACGTGCACATACACACACGTACACACACACACACACGTGCACATACAAAGACAAAGATCCCCCGTATAGCCTGAACAGACTGTAGGGGCAAGTGCTGTTAGCGAGCACCTATGAAGGCCGGAACGGTACACGAGGGGGTGGGTGGCCAGCACCACGCCCGACCGCCTTTGTCTCCCTAGTGGCGATGTTTACACACCGCACACCAGGTACTCATTTAAGGCTGAGTCGACCTAGGGGAGGCCCAGGACCGGTTCAGGAAGTCTTTACCGGTGTTGGCCGTGAGCAGGAATCGAACTTGTGCCACCGGATTTGTAGCGCAGTGTGCTAACCATTGTGCCACCGCTCCCCAAATACGTACACACACACGCACACACGCACAATAAACTATTTTTTATTTTACCAGGTAAGGCTCACGGAGCTATATAGCTCATGTTCAGAAGCGACCGGGCCACAAATTTATAGCTCAACGAAGTGGCTTCTCATCACGTGGAAATTTATAGCAGAAGCCACACTCTCTAAACGCGTCGGTGTTCTTTCTAAACGTGCAGGGGAAAATCGGAGGAGCCGGAGAAAAAAATCCATGTGACCACTGAGAGAGAGACGCGCAAACTCCAAATAGACAACAAGCGTCAGGGTCGGGATCGAACCCACGACCTTCTGTATACCGAGCGAGGTAGTTAACATCTTTCCACCATAGCGAGTGCCCACACACGCACACATGTGCACAACAACAAGAAAAATATCCCCCGTATAGCCTGAACAGACTGTTAGGGAAATTGCTGTTAGCGAGCACCTATGAAGGCCGGCATGGCACACAATGGAGTGGGTGGCCAACACCACGCCCGGCCGCCTTTGTCTCCCCAGCGGCGATGTTTACACACCGCACCAGGTACTCAATTGAGGCTGAGTCGACCGAGAGGAGGCCCGTGACCGGTTCAGATAATCGTCACCGGTGTTGGCCGTGAGCGGGAATTGAACTCGAGCCGTCGGGTTCGGAGCGCAGCGCTAACTGCTACACCACCGCTCCCCACCACCACACGCGCGCACACACACACGCGCGCGCGCACACACAAACACACACAAGCGTGTAGTTTCCATGATGTAACCGCCACGCCACGCCACGCCCCCCCAAACCGCCACCATCCCCCCACCCCCACCTGCACACACCTGTGTGTGTGTACCTGTGTGTGTATACGTGTGTGTGTACGTGTGTGTGTGTGTACCTGTGTGGGTGTGTGTACCTGTGTGGGTGTGTGTACCTGTGGGTGTGTGTACCTGTGTGTGTGTACCTGTGTGTGTGTACCTGTGTGTATGTACCTGTGTGTGTGTGGGTGTGTGCACCTGTGTGTGTGGGTGTGTGTACCTGTGTGTGTGTGTGTACGTGTGTGGGTGTGTGTACATGTGTGTGGGTGTGTGTACGTGTGTGGGTGTGGGTACCTGCGTGCTGGTGTGTGTACCTGTGTGGGTGTCTGTACGTGTGTGTGTGTGTGTGTACATGTGTGGGTGTCTGTACGTGTGTGTGTGTACCTGTGTGTGTGTGTGTGTACCTGTGTGTGTGTACCTGTGTGTGTGTGTGTGGGTGTGTACCTGTGTGTGTGTGTACCTGTGTGTGTGTGTACGTGTGTGTGTACCTGTGTGGGTGTGTGTACCTGTGTGGGTGTGTGTGTACCTGTGTGTGTGTACCTGTGTGTGTGTGCGCGTGTGCTGGGAGCGGTGGCGCAGCGGTTAGTGTCGTGTGCTACGAACCGGGCTACCAGAGTTCGATTTCCGCTCACGGTCAACACCGCTAACAATTACCTGAACCGGCCCTGGGCCTCTCCTAGGTCGACTCAGCCTTAAATGAGTAGTACCAGGTGCGGTGCGCTGTAAATATCTACACTGGCCAGACGAAGGCGGTCGGGGCGTGGTGGTGGCCATCAACCCTCCTCGTGTGCCGTGCCGGCCTTCATGGGCCGCTGCTACTCGCTCCGCACAGCACTTGCCCCAACAGTCTGTTAAAGGCTGTACGAGGGATCTTTGCCATTGCATTGGACAAGCAACCTTTGCTCTCTACAGCGCAATAGCCCCGCCACTACGGCGACCAGGCACGAGTGGGGGGGGGGGGGGGCTAAAATAGGGGATTGGGTAGGTAAGTGATTGAATTGGTGGGCGAGAAGGGCGGGTGGATGGGTGGGTGAGTGGTTAGAAGGGTGGGGAGCCAGGCGAGTGGTATGTACGCGATTGGATAGGTGGGTGAGTCGCTATGTAGGTGGGTAGGCGTGTGACTAGGTAATCAGACAGGTAGGCAGGTAGGCAGGCAGGTAGGCAGGTAGGCAGGGAGGCAGGCGTGGAGGTACACACGGATACTGTCAGAGACCCCAACTACGACCCCTCCCCCCGTCACTGCCCGCCGCCCCTCCCCCAGAGCCCTGGTAAGGAGCCCCGAGTGCTGAATCAGTGCCCAATCAGCTGAGGGTGCCCAGCATGGCACTTGGGGGGGGGCACGTGGGGGCACGTGGGGGTCATGGGGAGCACGGGGAGCACGTGGGGGGCACGTGGGGGGCACGTAGGGGGCACGTGGGGGGCACGTGGGGGGCACGGGGAGCACGTGGGGGGCACGGGGAGCACGTGGGGGGCACGGGTAACCGCCGCTTCGAGCCCTCCATGGCCAGCACGCACCCCGCTCACGTGCCACGCGACAGGGCCGGGCAAGTACCTCGGGAGGCACGTGGGCAGACATGCCCGTGGGGAAGTGTGTGTGCAGGTGGGTGGGTCTGTGGATAGGTGTGTAGATAGGCACGTAGGTAGGTAGGTTGGTGTGTGGGTGGGCAGGTGGGGGGCGGAGTATTTGGCTGCTATAAATGTCCACGTGGTGATGATGATAAGCCACTTTTGTTGAGCGACCATTTGCGATAGCTGGGTGGCTTCTGAAGAAGAGCTACGTAGCTCAGTGGGCCTAACCTGGTAAAATAAAAAAAACTGTTTATCTTCAGGTGCGTAGAAGCAGGCAGGCAGGTGTGTGGGTCAGTGGATAGCAGCAGGAAACAGGAGAAAACGATTCAGTGGAATAAATAAATAAATGCCATGGAAAGGGAACAGCGCGGAGATGAAAAGGGCATTTCATCTTTGCGCACACAGACAGATACACAGACACACACACAGATATACACAGATACAGACAGATACACACACATATACACACACAAATACACAGATACACAGACAGATACACACACAGATACACACACACAACAACCGCCATTCGCCACTAAGTGGCGGTAATGTCACTACAGCGCTTGTGCCAGGCCAGGTGTGCTCCGAGGCCACGGAGCACACCTGGCAGGAAGTCATGGAATAGACCGAGGTGCCATGGATTAACCGACTGAGATGACTGACCGATGCACCACCTGTGCCCCCCACTGTGCCAACTGCATTTTAGCCACCCGGCGCTCCGTTTTTGTGAGCGTCGCTCCTCTGCCCTCCATTGTTGGTGAAGGGCGATTGCCTCCAACTGCCCAGCGTCCTTCTCGAGCCTCCACATAGGCTGATCTTGACATCGCCGGTACCAGTCGTCAGCAAGTCCACCCAGCTCCACATCCTCCCGTGCTGCATCAACCCATCTCTTCTTCAGCCCGTGCCACGCCCGTTTAGCCTCCTCTATCTGGCCAAACAGGAGTTGCTTGGGCATGCGGTGGCTGGTCATGCGGGCTATATGACCCAACCAACGCAGCCTCGTCTGCCGAA